AATTAAGTAAAATAAAATCTTTGACTCATAAATTCAACCTCTGAGCTTCTTCATGGACAGTTTCTATTTGACTGCTTTATTTCCTCAGTGTGGGCCATTTCCTTTCTATTTCTCTGTATGCCTCATTATTTTTGTTGTTGAAATAATATCATGTGGCAGCTCTGAAAGTCAAATTCCCATTGTCCCTAGGGCTTATTCTTGATGCTATTTATTTGTTTTGTGAGTTTCCTGGATTAATTCTATAAAGGCTGTATCCATTGTGAGGCCACTGAAGTCTCTGCTCAGTTAGCTTAGTGGTCAGCTGATGATTGGATGGATATTTACTTAAATGCCTGATAATAAGTCTCTCAGGCTTTGCTGAGGGACTCAATGCGTATGTTAGGGCATGTCTTAATGCCCAAGCATGAAGTTTGCAAGCTTTAACCTTCAATTCCTGCTTGCACATTGCCTCCAATTCAGCTGGACTTGAGAGCTTAGGTCCATCTGAGGTCTTTCTCTGGCATATACATATCTCTGTACCTATACATGGCCTCCTAAAGTCCCAGGAATACGTTTGAGCTTTTCAAAGCCCCTATGAATAGTTCATTTCTCAGTTGTTCTTTTTAAAGGTTTTTGGTCAGCCTTTTGTTATCCTCAACTGGTAAGACTGCCTCAGTCAGTCATGGTGGTGTCACCAGTAGTTTTCAACAAATACCTTGATTGTAAAGCTGTTTGCACAAGCAATCTCTGAGTCAGGTCAAATAAAAATGAATTCTGAAGATGGAGCTATTTATCATACATCCAGGTAGGTAATAACAGTTCTCTGGTTAGGGATGGGGAGCTTTAGATGCTTCTGCCCCTGGTTTTCACAGATACCCCTGTGATGCTGTAGTTTTTAAGGCTACTGCAGAGCCGCACAGAGGGATGGGCTTAAGGCAAGTCAAAATGTTACAGAGCTCACTGTTCTTACAAAGATCTGACCATTTTCCTTGAACAAACACCCCAAATTGTTGTTAGCTTTTAGTTAATTCCCATAGTTCTGAAATAGTTGTTTTTGATTTTTACCAGTTTTCTCACTCATCTACACAGTGATGGGTGTTTGGAGGTCCTTACCCTGCCATTACAGAAATACTTGGCCCTGGAATTCATTCTTGTGAAAGATGGGAGATTAGAGATGTAATTTTACTCTTTTTTCTTTCGGATAGCCAGTTATTCCTTCCAAGTTAGTGAGTACTACTTCCATTCCCAAGTATTTGAAACGCCTTTTCTACTATATGCTTGCCATTCTTTTATTGAATACACATTGCTTAAAAATTTGGTCTGTGGCAGGTACTGTTCCATTGGAGTATCATAGTTGGTGATTTCTATATCCAAACTTTACAGTGTGTTATTTTGTTTTCTTTTGTATATTAACTAGAGCTTTAGACTATGTAAGAGAAATGCTCCAAGTTGCTTTTTCCCCCCCCAAAATTGCCTTTGCTCCTCTTGAACATTTGTGTTCTGTGCCATTTTGAGATCACTTTCTTTGTGAAAAAACTTGATGGGATTTTGATTATGATCAAAACAATTTATAAGTTAATTTTGGGCTGTCTTTGACCTTTTATAAAGTTTATAAATTATTTTAGTTATTTCTGAATAAGCTTTTTACAATTTCTATAACTGTATTTTTAGTGAGACATTTCTGTAAACAAAAGCAGAAAAATGAAATAAAATTTTGCAAATAAGTTACTAAACCTATGCCTGATTCATGACAATATATAACAGTGTATCTGTTACATTAAGAAATACTATTTTCTATGAATCATAATAATCAAATCCCTTTGAGAATTACTGGATCGAGCCAAGTTAAGCCAGATCTTTTATGAAGGAGGACTTTTTGGAGCATAGATGTGTTAATGTGCATTGTGTACTTACTCGTTTGACTCCAAAATAATTTTGTTAAAAGCTTACACTATTCTAGTGCCTTACGTTGTGAATGTGAATAATATCATGTTACTATAGAATGATTTTTAGTTTGCTAAGAAATTTGTCACTAACTAGATTTATAACTAAAATAGCTGATTCTTGTTTCATGATCTGAATGAGCAGCAAGTGCAAATATGGAACATTGTCATAAATACTGATGATGTAGTTCATAAAGAACAGTAGATCCCAGTACCTATTAGAGACAATTATGATTTCTATATTTTAACATTCAGATATGTTATTTTCATTAAGACTTGGTAAGTCATATACCAACATTGATTTGAAAACAAATTACTTTATGTCAACTTAATATGTTAATTTTCATTAATCAATTCATTAACTTCCTTCATGATAAAAATAAAGCAGAGATATGAAAGACTTGTTTTATTTATATCTACTGGCATAAGTTTAATGTGGCACTGAAATGGTAGGCTTATTTTTCTGTGTATAAATTTTATCTGGATATTAATTTACTTTAATGGGACTAGTGTTTATGAAATTGCTCATTTTGTCTATGCTCATGCTAATTTTTTTCTCTTATCAAATACATTATTAAATCAGATGTTAAAAAAGAAAAAATGAGTACTGCAGTAGTATCCTTGCAAATGGAAATGCAAATCAAGAAATGAATGGCTTTTTTACTATTTATTGTCACCTATTATTAGTTTTACAAGTAGCTCTCTGTATTGGAAAGAAGCACCCTACTTTTTTGTCCTAAGTCTATCTTAGCTTTGTTATTTATTAATAGACATTTAAAACCAATCAGCCTTTATACCAGAGGAAAAGTGGGTTATCATTTTTGTCCATCTCCTTTTTCTTTAGAAACTGCCCTCGGTGCTTTAGCAAGAGTCCTGAGAGAAGACTGGAAGCAAAGTGTTGAGTTAGCTACAAACATAATTTACATCTTTTTTTGCTTTTCCAGGTAAGTATAAAAATTATGAAATAAAAGAACTACTCTCTTTCTCTTGCTTTCTGTATATATTATTGGTTTAGTTTGTAGATCATTTGTTCTCTGTGTTGTGGTGTTTCTGTCTATGCTCTGCCCCTGAATTCTTATTCCTAACTGTGTCCTGTTCTCTGTCCTGCCCTCCGTTATTCTGTCTTTCATTCGGTCTTCATTCACCCATGCGTGCAATAGAATGATTCATAATTTAGGAGTATGGGCTCTGGAAGTATATTATGTGTATTTGAATCTAAGCCTTATTGTTTATTAACTCATCTTGTTTACATTTACTTAACTTCTCTGTGTCTCAGTTTCCTCACATGTAAAATTTGGACATTAATAGTGGCACCTTCTTTGAGTAGTTCTTAGGGTTAAATGAATTAAGAGTTAAAATGCTTGGAATAAAAACTGACCCTGAATAAATGCTCATTATGTATTATTATTATATATACACATAGGTTTGTACAAGACATACCTGTTATATATTCATATTTATTATGTATACATCTATATTCTTAGGGAAGCTGTTACTGAGACATTGTGAAAAGCTTCTAGCCAATTCTTACAGAATTATTTGCTTCTACTCTAAAAACGTGCAAGCATTAGCAAATAAATATGTATTAAACAAATACTTGGATGAATGAATTGTTTAGGAAACATATGACCTGATTACTAATACTTTACTAGTTTGTTCTCTGACATCAATTTTATACAATTAATAAAATGTATGTCTGGTATTGTTACATTATTAGTTTTGTTAGACAGTAATCAAAAATTTATTTTGATAATATCTGAGTAGTTAATATGTGGCTAATTATTTTTAAAAGTACCTAATTTATAATTTCTTAAAAATAATTATATTTCAGGTAAGGATATTATGTTAAAACATATTTAAAGTAATCTTATAAATTCAAATCTTCAGTATGCTGTCTATATTCATTTATTGAAATATGTATATAAAATTTTCTACATGGTTTATATCAATATTTTCTGGAAACAAATTTCCTGTACCCATAAAATGTATTCCTTTAAATATATGTTAAAATCTCCTCTTTAAAGCTTTTCTCAGTTTCATGGACTTATCACTCATTATAAAATTGGAGCTCTCTGTATGAATATTATTGATCATGAGTTAAAAAGACACGAACTTTGGCAAGAAGAACTTTCTAAGAAGAAAAAAGCTGATATCCTTTTAGAGTGGTATTTAGACCCTCCATTGCTTGTTATTGTAAACTTTTGATGAATATGAGATGGTTTTGTTATTTTTGTTTTTCTTTAATTGCTGATTAATGACTTAGAAACGATGTAAGAGTGTGCTGAATGTCAAGAAGTAGATTGAAATTATCCAAATGAAGATAGTTTGAAATAGACTTTTTGTCTCTTCACAACTTTGATTAGTTAATGAGGTAGGAGGAGGAGGTCATAATGAGCTGGATATATGATAGGAGATTCTGTAAGTAGCTACACCGTTATGTTCACTGAGATTCTTTGGTTAGTTGAAGCCTGGCTCAGCTCACTGTTATTTATATACTTCTTAGAGTACTACGATGACTTTGATTGGAATGAGTATAAATTTGGTGATGACTCTAGTTTAAAGTCCTATTTTTTTTTAATTCTACTTTTCTAGGTTAATGGAAAAAAATTTCTTAATTAAATATAAATGGAGAGGCCTACAGAATGATAGAACCTGTAAAAAGACCTTTAGAAATTGTCTCTTTTAGCCTATCCTACAACAGAAAATATTTTCTGCAACTTCTCTGACAAATGGTTATATAGGCTGTATAGAACAGGGATGTTCTTTTCAACATCACATTTTTTTTCTAATATTCAAAATCTTTATCATATTGCTTCTATAACTTAATGCTTTTTTTTTAAAACCCAACTTATCCATCTTTATTTAGATTTTTTTCTTGGCTTAGGGTTTTAAATTTAATGAATAAATAGTAGAAAAAGCAGAATTTTTACTTTGTCATGTATATGTACATTTGATATATATTCACATACATAATACATATATAAACTCATAAATATGTCACATATTTATATATGAAAATGAATATATGTGAGTTTTGTTTGCTTTACACAAATATATACACTCTCACACCCAGATTAAACATTTCTGTGTATTGTACATATTGTGTAAGGAGGAAAGAGCTAGCTAGAGCTTCAATATGTTTAAAAGTAGTTTGTTCTCTTGTGAAGGTAAAACATGTTATCCTTTTATTGTGTTTATATTATAATTTTAAACTTTTAATATAGCATTTGTTGAGCTAAAGTGAAATTCCCTTTAGACTCTACATAATTTATGTCAAACACAAGATTAGTAAGACTTTAAAATTTTATGATTTTACTCTTATTTTATTTCGGTTAACATAGAAGCATCCCTAGAAATAGTGATTATAATTAATCTTGAAACAAAGAACACAGCTAGAAATAATGACTTAAATAATGACTCTATAACTTAATTCTTAATTTTTTTAGATTGAAAGTCCTAGCCTATTCATCTCTCCTGACATGTTTTTGGTTTCCATATTAATAAGCCATGCTGGTAACTTTCTTTTGAACATGTATATTGACTTCCTTTAAAAAGTGAAAACATTATTTCTATTGTACAGAATGTTGTATGTTTTTTAACTCCCCTTCGTAGGAAACGAAAACCCTATTCTTTATTATTATTATTATTATTTTATTATTTTATTTTTTTGAGACAGATCCTCAAGCTGTCCCACTGGATAGAGTGCTATGGCTTCACTGCTCACAGCAACCTCCAACTCCTGGGCTCAAGCGAGTCTCCTGCCTCCGCCTCCCAAGTAGCTGGGACCATAGGTGCCCGCCACAATGCCCAGCTATTTTTTGGTTGCAGCCATTATTGTTGTTTGTCTCCGGGCTGGATTCGAACCCGCCACCTTAGGTGTATGTGGCTGGTGCCTTAGCCGCTTGAGCCACAGGCACCGAGCCAAAAACCCTATTCTTACATTAATTTTGGCCTCTAGAGACCTTGAGGTTTAAATTTTATCCATGCTGTGATATATAAATTAATCCTGGGTATTCTATACAGAATCTCTCAGACTTTTATTGTTGTCGTTTGGAACTCTAGGACACCATAAAATGCACACCCACCCACAAGCTTTGCCTTTTCTTAATTAGGATCATTCCAGGTTTAGAAATTTTCTATGTGTGTTATAACTTTTTGGCATCTAGATTGGTATTGGCTCAGTTATGTGGACAACTCAATAATCCTGGAGACTTTACATCAGTTCTGGAGTGCTAAGACTCCTGAATGTTTCATTATCCCCCAAATTCATGTAAACTGGAGAGGTATGGAGGGAACCACTAATGGGATTTTTTAGTAATCATTAAATTACACTTTGTGATTAGTGACAAGAACTGATATTTTAAGACATGTTATATTTCTGTATCAGATACCATTGATTATAAGATTCAGTATCGTTTATGAACCACTAAGAGAGGAAAATATGCTTCCAGTTAAACTATAACATAGTACGTATCATGGCTCATAAGACACATCCCAATTTTGGAGATGCTAAAGTGTGCGGAAAATGTGTCTTAGAATCAATGGGTATAAAAACGACATTAGAATTGCAGTTATTTCTCCTGAAATTTACTATTTTATTATGTTCTAAATGTCCTGGTGTTTTAATTTAAGTAGCATTCAACAAGGTCAGTTGCTTTGATTCATATTCTAGGGTCATATGCTTGACTCATATACTTGGAGATCCTGAAGTCTAATGAAGTAACTGGTTATTTCTATAGATGTCCGGGGAACTATTTTGTACCAACAGATGTAATTTTTAAAATCTGTTTACCTTTAACTGTGAGATGTTTCTCCCCTGACAACTCTAGTTTAAAGAGGGAACTAAAAAGCTTAAGATCTAATCTTCATCCTTTAAATGCTCTGGGTATCTGTGTAAAGTAACTAAATTGTTCTCTAAGGCAGTGATCTTTTTGGTTCATGGATCTACTTGATAATCTCTTGAAAGTTCCACACTTACACACCTATGTAAAATATTTGCTTACCATTTCTGGGAATTCAAGTATTTGGTGAGGTTCAAACATTTGCTCACCCAAGGTATTCTGAGGGAATCCATGAACATTTGGCTAAGATTATTGATGAAAGAAAATAGGTAAAGTTGCATATAAAATGTAATAGTGCTGTTATTAATAGTATTTGTCAGTTGATTTTTTTGCTTCAATGAATATGTATTAACCTTAACTTTGTTTACTCGATGAAGACCCTGAAAACCAAACCTTGAGAAAGGATTATGAAAAAACCTTTAAAAAATACCAGGGGCTTGTGGTAAAACAGGAACAACTATTAAGAGGTATGAATTCCTGAGCAATAAGAAGACCTACCGAGTACTTAGCTCGAAGTCCATTTGTTTGTTTCCCTTTTCTGTCATACCGGTAAAGCTATCAGAATAAATGAAAGTTCTATAAATTTTAATATGCCATAAGTTCTTCTTCTATTTTTAACATGGATGATAATGTTTTAAATTTCACTCTACTTGTTTTTCCCCATTTAGCTCCTAAAAGTATATATACTTATAGCGTATTTACTTAATGAGGATTTTTAAATCTAGCATGTTGCCTTTTTAGTAAAAATCTTTGTCTCTCAAACTCTAACTTGTTTCTACAGTGAATTATTTTGTTTTTTTCCTAAGAAATTGGTGTAAAAATTTTCAAAGTATCTTTCTGGTTTAGTAGAAGATAATTGTTTCTGAGAGTTTTATTAAGAGAAAACTTCAATAGTATGGCTTCTCATTCATTGACAAGATGCAAAATCTTGTCATGGTTAGTGGGAATGAGGTGGGGCTTTCGTGTATTTATTTCCTTGTTTTATTTGGCTAACATTTCATTAACATTGTACCTGGAAATACTTAACTTGCCAAATATTTTCATCTCCTAAGAATTATTAGCACTTTTTTTTTTGTACTGATTTTTTTTTGCAGTTTTTGGCTGGGGCTGGGTTTGAACCCGCCACTTCTGGCATATAGGGTTGGCGCCCTACTACTGGACTGAATTTTTAAAGTATTTGAAGCTATTAGTTCAAATGGTGGTGGTGCGGGATGGTGTTCTTTCCTGCCTTTAGTATCAGAGTTATACTTGCTTTGCAGAATGGGTTAGGAAGGATTTTCTCCTGTTGGAGAAAATGCCAGATTTTCAAAAGTAATTTTAAGTTGATTTTTTAACATGTAAACCTTTAAACATTGTTTGTAAACCAAGTGTTTTAGTTACACACATACTTTATGATTTTTTTAACAGCTTTTTAATGCAAAATTTGATAAACATTAAAATATGTAAATACCTATGAAACTACCAAGATCAAGAATCTATCCATCACTCCCAAAGTTTCCTCTGCATCTTCGCAATCTCTCTTTCCTTCTCCTTTCTCTCATTCTCAGGTGACCACTGGTTTGTTTTCTATCACTTTAAATACACTTGCGTTTTCTACGGTTTTATATACATGAAATAATATAGTATATATTTTTTGTGTCTCTTTCACTCAGTGTTCATCAATGTTGTTGTTTTTACCAGTAGTTCCTTCCTTTTTTATTACAGATTTATAGTAAATAAATAGTATTTATTTCTGTTCAGCTGTTGAACATTTGGAACATATCTAGTTTTTGACAATTACAGTGCTGTTGGGAATGTTCATCTACAAGTCTATGTCTGAAAATTTGCCTTCTTTTGTCTTGGTTAAATACCTAGTGGTGAAGTGGCTGACTAACTTTCTAACTTTGTAAGAAGCTGCCAAATGGTTTTCTGTGGTAGAAATGGTTTTCTACCATTTTATACTCACACCATGAGTGTATTTCCACTTGTTTTACATCCTCACCAGTGCTTGATAGTCTGTCTCATTAATTTTAGGCCATCTAAAATATGTATAGAGTGGCTTTTCATTCTCTTAAGACCAGTTTGTGGCTTTTCCTTCTCTTACGAGATCTTTTGAAGAGCAGAATTTTACAGGTTTATGAAGTACAACTTATGTAGTGTTTTATGGATCATAGGTTTGGTATGGTATCTAAGAAATCTTTTCTTCACTGTTACAGTGATTTTCTCCTACTTTTTTTCTATAAGTTTTATAGATTCAAGGTTTACTGATAAATCTATAATATGTCTTGAGTTAATTTTTATATATGGTGTGAGGAATGGATCAGGGTTCCTTATTCTTTTTCAAAGTGAGTATCTAATTATTCATGCACTATTTGTTAAAAAGACTATCCTTTATCTTTTGAATTGGATTATATCTTTATCAAATCATTTATGTGCATGCCTGTTTTTGGATTCTCTGTTCTCTTCTGACCATTGCCGTCATATGTTTGAGGGCAGTAACACATCTTCAATACTGTAGCTTTATAGAATATTATTTGTTACTATTGTGAAGTGCTCCTTTTAAAAATTCAATTTCTGATTGCAGTGTAGCAATCAGTAAGCTGCTAATTCCATCTTATATAGTTTCATTGATTGTTCTTTACATTTGTGTTTTCTATTTCATGGATTTCTACTCTGATCTTTATTATTTCCTTTCTTCAGTTAAATTGGGTTTAATTTACTCTTATTTTCTTGCTTTTTAACACATTGACCACCACACTAGAGAAAAAATTTTCCTTGGGGCAATGGTGTTTTATTACAAAAATGGAATAAAAATTTCAAAAGCAAAATGATTCTTTCTAACTTAATAATTTTTTTATTGTTTTCTGTACATGAACTGTATTCACCTTGCACAGTACTAGAATTAGTTTTTATACTGCACACCACATGAGTTGTATGTGACTCATGGTATACTTATTGAATTTGTCTTAAGAACTGAGTCTTTTGTCATTCTACAAGTATTTAGTTGTATCTGGAATGGACCTTGGGTGGTGCGGGATGGTGTTCTTTCCTGCCTTTAGTATCAGAGTTATACTCGCTTTGCAGAATGGGTTAGGAAGGATTACCTCCTCCTTTATCTTTTGGGATCAGTTTCAGTAGGATTGGTACCTGTAGAAATTTGATACAGTTCAGCTGTGAGTCTGCCTGGTCCTGGACTTTTTTTTGTTTGAGGACTTTTTATTACTGATTCAATTTCACTAGCCATTATTAGTCTGTTCTGGATTTCTGTTCCTTTCTATTTCAACCTTCAGAAGTTTTATATTTCTAGGAATTTAGTCATTTTCTCTAAATTTTCTAGATTGTGCATTAAGATACTCATAAGAGTCTCTAATCTTTTATATTTCTGTGTTATCAGCTATAATGTTACCTTTATTTTTTCTGATTGTGATTATTTGAATCTTCTCTTTTTCTTGGTTTATGTAACTAGCAGTCTTTTTTTTTTTTTTCAAAGAACCAACTTTTCATTTCATTAATCCTTTGGATTTCTTTTTTGATCCCAATATCATTTAGTTCTTCTCTGATCTTTTGTTATTTCTTTTCTTCTGGTAGCTTTGGGTTTGGTTTGTTCTTGTTTTTCTAGACTGTTAGGTGCAAGCTAGGTTGTTAATTTGAAATCTTTCTGTCTTTTTGATGTAGGCATTTGAAGGTATAAACTTTTTTCCTAGTGCTATTTTTTCAGTATCACTAAGGTTTAAACCTTGTGTATCTCTATTTTCATTGATTTAAAAATTTTTTAATCTGCCTTAATGTCATCATTTAGGCAAAGATTATTCAGGAGTATATTGATTAATTTCTATGTATTTGTATAGGTTTGAGAGTTCCTCTTGGTATGAATTTCTGCTTTTATTTCACTGTGGTCCAAGGAGATACTTGATATGTTTTTGATTTCTTAAAATTTATTGAGACTTGATTTGTGGCCAAGTATATGTTCTATTTTGGAGAATGTTCTATGTGTAGATGAGAAGAAAGTATATTCTGCAATTGTTGGGTTGAATGTTCTGTAAATGTCTGGAGTTCAGTTTGAATACTGGGTTTCTTTATTGATTTTTTGCGTCAGTGAATTGTCCAGTACTGTAAGGTTTTGAAGTTTCCCACTATTATTGTGTTGCTATCTGTCTCATTTCTTAGTAGCATTTGTTTTATGAGCCTCAGTCTGGTAGTATTAGATACATATATATTTAGGATTGTTATATCATCTTCTTGAATTGATATCCCTTTATCATTATAGTATGACCTTCTTTTTTTTTAGTTGTTGATTTAAACTCTGTTTTATCTATCTACGCCTGCTCACTTTTGGTTTCAGTTTGCATGGAATATCTTTCTGCCCTTTGACTTTGAGTCTGTAAATGTCTTTACCTATCAGGTAGGTTTCTTGTAGGTAGCATATTATTGGATATGCTTACTTTTTATTCATTCTTCCAGTCTATATCTTATAAGTAAGGCATGTCATTTTTTCACATTCAAGATGAATATTGATGTGTGAGGTTTTGATCTTGTCATGATGTTCATTTTTACCCAGTTGTTTTGTAGTCTTATTTGTGTAATTGATTTATAGGATCTGTGATTTTTATACATTCATGTGCGTCTATGATGATAAGTATTGATCTTGTTTCTATGTTTAAAACTCCCTTGAGCATTAATTACAGGCACAGTCTAGTGGTGATGAATTACCTTAGCATTTGCTTGTCTGGGAGAGACTTTGTTTCATTTTCGTTTAGGAAGCTTAGTTTAGCAAGAAACAAAATTCACAGCGGACAGTTCTTTCCTATAAGAATATTGAAAATAGAACCCCAACATTTCCTGACCTGTAAGGTTTTTGCTGAGAAGTTTGATATTAGTCTGATGACATTTCCTTTATAAATGTCTAGCAAGCTTTTCTCTTGCTGATTTTAGGATTTTTTTCCTTCATATTGACTTTAAATCCTCTGATAACTATTTACCTTGTTGAAGTCCATTTTGCAATGTATTTCCCTTGTGTGCATCCTCTTTTATCTAGATGTCTAAATCTCTTGCAAGACCAGCTAAGTATTTCTCAGTTATTCCTACAAATATTTTCCACACTTCTCCTTAAAGAATATCTATGACTTACACGTTTCGGCACTCTGTGTTACCAGTTTTCTCTATGACTTTGATCATTTTTTAAATTCTTTTTTGTTTATTTTTGTCTGACTTGGTAAATTTAAAAGACCTGTTTTCAAGTTTTGGAATTCTTTCCTTGGCTTAATCTATTCTGTCACTAGAACTTTCAACCATATTTGATAATTCCTTTAATAAATCTTTTATTTCTCAAAATTTTGTTTTTTTTTTTTTAATGGGGTTGGAAAACAATATTTCAGCAGATGGAAATCAGAAGAAAGGAAGGGTTGCAATCTTATTTTCAGATACCAGTAGATTTTAAGCAACTAATGTTAAGATAATTAAAAATGGTCATTTCATACTGGACATTTCAACAGGACATTTCAATTCTAAATAGTTATGCACCCAACATTAATACTCCCAGACTTATGAAATAGCCCTTAAATGGTCTGAGCAATATAATGTACTATAACACCACAATAGCTTAGGACTTTACCCTTTCACAGAACTAGATAGTTCCTCTAAACAGAAACTAAACAAAGATAACATGAGACTTAAATGTGACCCCAGAACAACTGTGCTTAATAGGGATATACAGAACATACCATCCCAGAGCTAAGGAGTATATAGTCTTCTCGTCAGCCCATGGAACATGCTCTGAAATTGACCATATGTCAGGACACAAGTCAGATGCTAACAAAATTAAAAGAATTTAAATTACATCGTGTATCTTCTCAGATCACAAGGCAATAAAGATGGAACTCAACTCCAACAAAAATTTTCATCTCCACAAAAGGCATGGAAATTAAATAACCTTATGTTGAATGATATTTGGGTCAAAGAAGAGGTAAAGGAAGAAATTAATAAATTCCTTGAATATAACAACAATGAAGCTCCAAGCTACCAAAACCTGTGGGTTATTGCAAAAGCAGTTGTTAAGAGGGAAATTTATTGCATTAGATGCCTACATCCGAAAAATAGAGAGCACAACAACCTAATGAGTCATCTTAAGGAAACGGAAAGGGAAGAGCAATCCACTCCCAAACTTAGCAGAAGAGAAATGATGAAAATTAAATCAGAAATAAATTAAATTGAAAACAAAAGAATCAGGTGGTACCCATAGCTCAGTGGGTAGGGCGCCCAAAACGTACACTGAGGCTGGTGGATTCAAACCTGGCCTGGGCCAGCTAAAACAACAATGACAACTGCAACAAAAAAAATAGCCAGGTGTTGTGGTGGGTGCCTGTAGTCCCAGCTACTTGGGAGGCTAAGGCAAGAAAATCACTAAAGCTCAAGAGTTTGAGGTTGCTGTGAGCTGTGATACCATGGCACTCTACCCAGGGCGACAGCTTGAGACTCTGTCTCAAAAAAAAAAAAAAAGAATCATTCAAAAAATTAATGAAATAAAAGTTTTGTTCTTTGAAAAGATAAATCAATAAACCTTGATAAAGGTTTTCAGCTTTCTCTTGGATTTCACTTAGCTTCCTTATAGTACATATTTTGAATCCTTTATCTGTCATTTCATCATTTTCATTTTGGTTAGGATCTACTGCTAGAGATGTAGTGTGATCCTATGGGGGTATTGAGCATCAGTTTTCTCTACCAGAGTTTTTTATGGTTTCTTCTCATCCAGTGAAAATGTTACTTTGTTTAATTTAGTTTTGTTTGAGAGGATTTATTTTTATTTGTAATTATTTTTCCCCTTTGAAGGTATGATTGTAATGTATATTGGGTCTGGTCACTTAGCTTTCATTTGGGTGTTTTCAGAAGACTGGGATTGTGTATAAGCTCCTTGGTGTGGTAGCTTTCTCAGATGCGGTTTGTAATAGCAAGGTAGAAGGTAGTAGACTCACTACCTTCTGCAGGGCCAGGATTGCAGAGGTCAGAAGCTTATTTTGTTCTCCAGCACTGTGCTCTTCTGTCATCATGTTTTGTATTGGGTAGTGCAGTTCAGCAGAGGCTGCTGGGTATATGCTTGCTCTTTCTTTATTGCGAGGGGCTTTCTGGCAGTGGGGTGATCTGTAGAATGCTCCATTCTCTGTGTTCCCCACTCAGCCCTGGACGGAGGATGAAGTTGGACTACCAGGCTCACCCTTGGAGACACCATCAATGAGAAGAATTACCAGCTCTGATGAGGGTGGCAAGGAAAGCTCATGCTAAAATGTGCCCAGGTCTCTTCCTGGAGGTGGGAGCAGGTGGCATCACTTCCACATGCGGGTGGCAGGAATGTCATCCACATCCATTATCACACCCCAGTCCTGGATCTCTTTTTTTGAGACAATCTTATTTTGTCGCCCTTGGTAGAGTGCTGTGGTGTCATAGTGCACAGCAATCTCAGACTCTTGGGTTCACGTGATTCTCTTGCCTCAGCCTCCCAAGTAGGTGTGACTACAGGGAGCTGCCACAATGCCCGGCTATTTTCAGAGACGAGGTCTCACTCTGGCTTAGCCAATCCACCCACCTCAGCCTCCCAGAATGCTAGGATTATAGGCATGAGCCTGCACTGGGCTGGAACTAGTAAACAGTGACCTCAACTAGTAAATAGTGATCTCAACTCTGTCTAGTAACAGTTGTATTACTGAATTCCATATTGTCTTTTCTTATAGCAACTAACAGAAAATCAGTTTGAATATGAAAAGTAGATTCTAGTATCCTTAAATTTAGTTGTAGTTATACTGTATGTTTTGGATTATAGCTCTCTTAACACAACAGCCTTTAGTTTTTGAAGTTTTGTAATTTGTTACCTTGTTTTCTGTATGTATAAAAATTATTGTTCCCTGTTTGCTTGTTTTATTATTTGCTGTCTTATCTACCTTTAATTGCCATTTGATTTCTATTAAGCTTTAAGCTGCAAGAGTGTAGGAATCATTTTCTTCTTATTGTGTTCTTCTTAGGATTATGAAAATATTTTAAATTATGCTTTGTTTTAGATAACATATTATATAATCCCCCACTCGATAATATGCAATAAATGTTTTCTAATGAACTAGTTACTAGCCTGTTGAATTTTAAAAATAATATATTACCATTTTGAAACTGTATCTGTTACCTTGGTGAGTAGAAATGATTTCTTTAATTGTTGATTTAAATACTAATGATTTAACTCCTCTATTTTACTTTTCTAGTTGCTCTTTATTTGCTTCTGAATCTTGCTGAGGATACGCGTACAGAACTGAAGATGAGGAACAAGAACATAGTTCACATGTTGGTGAAGGCTCTTGATCGGGACAATTTTGAGCTGCTTATTCTGGTGGTGTCATTCTTAAAGAAACTCAGCATTTTTATGGAGAATAAAAATGATATGGTAACTCACAAAGCTTTTTCTTGAAACAGTTCATGTTAGCCATTTTCAAGTTTGAATATTTTGATAAAAAGCAAACACTTTATCCCTTTACTCAGATAATTCTGAATGAAGATTTACAATAGCAATAATTCACTGACATGGCTTTATTAGGAAACATACTTCATATTACTTAATATTCCCAATAATTAAAGAAGTTTCTGGATGAAAATCTTTTCTAATATATTAATAGGTCTCTCCATATTAAACATGATATATAGAAAATACTTTAAACCTAAAATTGTACTTCACGGTCATTTGACTTATTACTTTGCCTCCTGTGTTTCTGATTTTAATATGTGGAATTATAATTTAGCCCAATCTCTTCTTTGTTACGTACTCTTCCAATTGGTAGCCACAACCTATTGATTCTGCTTCTTAAATAGCTCTTGAACTATTTCTTTATTCCATTTCCAGTGCCACTGTCTTAGTTGGTGCCCTCTTCATTCATACCTTCTGCATTTCTTGTATGAGTTATTCCATTAGATTCCTGACAATTTGTCATACGTATTGTATTAATACAGTGGTTTTGGGGAAACCTCAAGTTGAGCATATATTATTTCCTTTTGTGTAGAATTCACATAATACAGAAATAAAGATAGAATAAAAATTCTTATCTGCTTTTTATTCTATCATTAAAAAGTGTTGAGTATAATATGGTATTAAAATCATCCATTACCCATACCTTGTTTTCAAAAACTCGAGTTTATAATTTTAGCTGTTACAGATTACACTTCAGTGCACATATTTGTGAATACATCTTTGTCTGTATTTCTGACTGTTTTCTTGGAGTAGATTCCTAGAAATGAAAATTTTGGATCATTGGCCTTAACTCCACTGAAGTTCATCATTTTTAGAACTACGTGTCATTATGTGGCTGTGTTTATTGGAATAAGTGGCTTCTCCTTTAGCCTAAATATATAATATTTCTGCTTACCCTTTTATTCTTTTCAAACCAAATGAAAAAGGAAAAGTACCTTATTCCATAGAGAACAACATGGCATACTCTTTGAAAACCTTAGACTGATTTGTCCTATTTACTAAGTGCTTTGAATTCAGATTATATGAAGATATGAAATTTATATATTTAATGCACAAAATTCTATTTTACCCCTATTATTTAGTATCTGTCAATTTCATCATTAGCATATAATTATTTGTGTTTGCTATATGCCTGATAGTGTTTTGAGATCAAACATCCTTAAGATTAAACAAAAACCTGTTTTTTATTTTCACTGCTCTTCTATCTCTTAAGATTAAACAAAAACCTGTTTTTTATTTTCACTGCTCTTCTATCTAAAACCTTGTGATGACATGGTAACATAGACGCCTTAGTAGTTGGAGAATGGCTGAATAAGTGTTTCTCTTTGCTATAAGTTAAAGTATGTTCTTCCACTTACGTGTTTAGATTAAACTCACTTAAAGGTTCTCAAAATTCAAATTGACTTACATTATTATCATTCTATGTATGGATTAGTTTTGTATTTAAGTCATGTACTTATGAATTCATACTATCACAAAGATCATAAGATGTTATAAAAATTATTTTTTGGTAAGATCATAGATTGTGGATAAATAATAAAAAATATCTCATTAAATCTCCTTTTTTACTGAGGAGGAAAAATTAACTCAGAAATATTAATTATTCTTCCAAGGTCATGAGAAGTATTTGATTAGCTAGATTTTTACTATAGATGGTATGTATTCTGTCTTTTATTGTGGAAGGAATACATTTTATATAAAGTTGTCTTTTTATAGACTCAAGATTTTTACATGACTGGACCTGCCATCTGTAGGTATGGTTAGATTCAACGCATCTAGCCTTCTAATTTTGTAGATGAAATAGGAGAGGATCTGGGACATTAATATGCTTAAGGAAATTGATCTGTAGGTCCTGAACTTCATATGTTTTATTTACCTCCTGGGCAAAAAATTTATAGGTCTTTAAGATTTTTATATTGTTTTTTAAATATGACATTTTTTGTAAGATTAACAGTAATCAATTTTTAAATATTGGCTTCCAGAAACACTGAAAAAGTATACTTAAAGGCTGAAATTACCTTGCTAATAGTTAGTAAACTGTCACTTTGCATGGAATGTTTAATAATACTAATTAAATATAAATTCCATTTTATAGAACAAGAATTGAGAGAGCGTTGCATGTTGAGACAGTTACCAAATTTAGCTCTGGGATTAGGTTTAATCAACCAGACAAACATGACTAGAAGGCTTATTAAATAAGTACTAGTTTAGTGTTTAACCATCTGATTGGCTAATGGCACATATTTCACATTCCATTTTGTGCAATGGAAATACAAATTAATAGCAAACTCTGCAGATTATTTTATTGTTAAGTTTTACTATAATTGCCAATGTATATGTATACTATTGCTTTTCAAAAGAAAAATATTACATAATATAATTAGTAACAGCTGAAGCTTATGGCAATTTTATTTTTAAAGAAGATGGGAGGAGACTGATCTACTTGTGAAGTTGTATTGTTTGTTTAAATAAGATATTCATTTTACTCTAGATGTGAACTAATATTGACCTTGATTTTTAGACATATGTTTTAAAGGAAATTTAGTTTACTTAAAAACATTTTAATTAGCAATTTAAATTGAATCACTATATTTCTTGTATAATACTAACATAATTATATTATCATAACATAATATTGATATAACAAAAAATGGAGTAAATTATATTAATGTGATTATAAGAGAAAGAACAGAGAGGATTCATGTCCCTTATTTTCTTGCTTGCTCTGACTTCTGAGAGATCCTTCTGTATTTTGGAAATAAGTGTTTTATCAGTTATATGTTTGCAAGTATTACATTTTTTCCTTTTCTGTAGTATGTCTTTTCACTCTCCTATGAAAAGCAGAAGTATTTGGTTTTGATGAAATCTAGCATATAAAAAACATTTTGGTGGACTTTATTTTGGTGTCTAACTCAAGGTCACAAAGATTGTTTTCTATGTTTTTGAGAAGTTTTATAGTTTTCTATGTTTTGTTGTTGTTTTAGTCTATGATTCATCCATTTAGAATTAATTTTTGTATGTGGTGAAAGGTATTGACCAAGATTCCTGTTTTTGAATATGGGTGTCCAACTGTTCCAGCACCATTTGCTTAAAGATTCTTCTTAAATAAATTGGTTTTACACCTTTTTGACATTGCTTTTGCACCTTTGTTGAAAATCAATTGGCCATATGTATATGCTTCTATTTCTGGACTCCCTCATCTTTCTTTTTTTCTTTTTGTTTTTTTTGGTAGATGTAAAATAAATTTTACTTACTATTCCTAGGCTAGCTCTGCCTTTCCCAGTAGCAACTTATGAGTCAAAATTATTAATTTCTAATTTCTTTTTAGACTAATTTTTTAATTATTATGGGTGCATAATAGTTCTATAACTTTATAGGGTCCATGTGATATTTTGATACAGGCATGTAGTGTGAATTAATAATATCAGATTAATTGAGATATCCATCATGACCTTAGGCATTTTATGTTTCTTTGTGTTAGGAACATTCCAATTCTACTCTTTGAGTTATTTTAAAGTATACCCTAACTTATGGTGGATCGTAGCCACTGTTCATTCTATCTATAACTATATTTTTACACCCATTAACCATTTACCCTCTATCCCCCAAATCTCATCCATGTTATTGCAAATAGCAGGATTTCATTCTTTTAGTGATTATGTAATGTTCCATTATGTAGGTATACCACAATTTCTTTACCTATTTACCCCTTGATAGAAGATTAGGTTGATTCCAAATCTTGGCTATGGTGAATATGGACTCTGTTTTATTCTCTCTGTCTGTGTATCTGTGCTTGCATTAGTACCTCTTCCTCTTGATTACTTTAGCTTTATAAGGAAGACTTGAAATCAGTGTGGTGCCTTTAATATTGTTATTCTTTTTCAAATTAGTCTGACAATTCTATATTCTTTATCTTTTCATTTGCATTTTAGAATCAACTGGTTTACATCTTTTAAAAAATTGTGGAATCAGCTCGGCACCTATAGCTCAACCGGCTAAGGTGCCAGCCACATACACCTAAGGTGGTGGGTTCTAATCCCCAGCCCGGACCCGCCAAACAACAATGACGGCTGCAACCAAAAAATAGCCGGGTGTTGTGGCGGGCGCCTGTAGTCCCAGCTACTTGGGAGGCGGAGGCAGGAGACTCGCTTGAGCCCAGGAGTTGGAGGTTGCTGTGAGCTGTAATGCCACGGCACTCTACCCAGGGGGACAGCTTGAGGCTGTCTCAAAAAAAAAAAAAAAATTGTGGAATCCTGAATGGAATTAGTGGATAATTAGATCAATATATTTAATCATATTGGATTTACTAACCCATGAACATTGTATAGCTCTCCATTTATTTAGGTCTTCCTTGATTTTTTCCATCATTTTTTAGTTTTTAGTATATATTTTGCACATATATTTTTAGATTTATACTTAAATGTTTTACCAATATAAATGATAGTTTAAAAAATATTAGTTTTATGTTTTAGATTCACAATTTATAGAACTATGATACATTGATTTTTATATATTAACCTATTGTCCTGTGGCTTTTCTGAACTTACTGTTTAGTTCTAGTGACTCTTTTTCTTTCTCCCCATCTAAAATGTATTATTTTTCATTTTTTTCTTGCCTTAAATACACTGGTTAGGCCCTCTACTATGATGTTGAAAAGGAGTGGTGTGAGTGGACATTGTTACGCTTGTTACAGATCTCAGGAGGAAAACAATGTCTTTCACTATTAAGTATGATGTTAGCTGTGGGGTTACTCTCTATCAGTTAAAAGAAATTCTTCTGTTTCTAGTTTGTTGAGACTTTGTCTTGAATATTGGGTTTTTGTCACAGCCTTTTATGCATCTATAACTGAGATGATCATGTGGGTTTTTCTTATTTAGATCATTGTGATAAGGCAGATTACATTGATTGACTTTTGAATATTGAACTCTTGAATTGAAGGGATAAACACCACTTGGTCATGATGTATTGTGTTTTTAAACATCCATTGAGATTTTATTAGCTAATTATTACTGAGGGTCTCTGTGTTTATGAGGCATTATTGGCTTACAGTTTTCTTCTAATGTCATGGTCTAGTTTTATTATTACAGTAACTCTGTCCTCACAGAATGAGTTGGGGAGCATTCCCTCTTCTTTAATTTTTCTGGAAAGGTTTGTGTAGAATTGGTATTATTTCTACTTAAATGTTTAATAGACTTTAGCAATAAAATGTCATATGGGACTGGAATTTTCTTCCTGTGCATTTCTTTGATATAGGACAACTATTCAGGTTATTTTTTCTTGAGTGGTAGCTTTGTATGATAGTTTAGGTCTCTAAATGAATTTATCTACTTCATCTTATTGCCAAATGTATGGGCATAAAGTTTATGGTACTATTTCCTTTTTAATCTCCAATGCCTGAAAGTCTGAAGTGATTTTCTGTGTTTTCTGATATTGGTCATTTTTTTCTAAGTTGGTGTTTTATTTGTCATATTGATACATTGTAAAAATCAGCTTTTGGTTTCATGTTTGATTTTTGGAAGTCTTTGGATATGGAATTACTCTATAAAAAATAAATCTATGTATGGTTGCATTGTGTCTATTGAGTACATATAAGAAGTCTGAAGGAAAAATCAGGTATTGGTTTGTCAATTTAGCATTTTAAAAAAATTTTATGTTCATTCCTGGCATGGAATGGAAAGGAAAAAAAAAAAATGTCAAAGGCTCAATTGTAAATATGACTTTAGGAGGTCAGTGAAAGACTGCAATAAAGTTTTGAAAAGGATAGTATAAATAAATGTTTTAAATTTCCAATAAAAAAAGTACAGATTATTTGATTATTTAGAATTCCTTTGGTAATGATCAAAAATATGAACTTATTTAGAATTTCTTTCCTTTTTGCCATTGCTTTGTAACTAAAAGATATTAATGAGGTATTTTTAAAACCAAATTTTTCTTTTCTTTT